ATCCCTTTTCTCTGTTGAGAGCTGGGGTAGAATATAGAAGGAGACGAGAAGGAGGAAGAAGAGAAAGGAGTGAAGGTAGAAGAAAAGGAAGAGGAGGAGGAGGAAATGGAGTAGAAGAAAGACTGTTGAAATGCTTAGAGTGAGGACAAATGAGGACTCAGGCTGTGGCAGAAAGTTCCTTCTGAGCTGCTGATGAAGAGAAGTTCCCGATTTGCACAGTGTGAGATAAAGACATAAAGGCAGCCCTTTCTAGAAATAAAAACCAGACTTTCCCAATAGATGGTCCGGGAATGAGGGACGTGCTCAGCAAGAAGTTCTTTTCTAACAATTCTTAGAAAAACGGCTTCTGCTCACGTTGTATTTTTATGGCTTCGGTTCTGTCTGCGGTGACTTCCTGGTTCGCTCTCAGCCCTCTTTGATGGAAACAGCCAGACCTCACTCCCACCCAGCTTCTCCTCCGTGTTCCGACACAGGCCACTCTGCTCCTGTACATTTAGCAAACTTCCACCAGAGGCGGGGGGACGGTGGCTATTTCTGCTCCGTGGGAAGCCTTTTGTACCATCTGGCCTGGCTAGATTTCAACAAAGATAGTAAAGAAACATTTATCAAGAAAAATCAAAGTCATTCTCACTGAGTGTGGTCTAGAGAGTTTTGCTTCCTTGATACAGAGGCAGCTCCCGGGCTGCTGGGAAATGCAGCTTGACTTTGAAAAGCGTCGGGAGAGACAGGCCTTCAGATTGCAGTCCTCCGATGCTGTCACTCACTGGGGCGACAGGCATCTTGGACTCCAGAGCGCTTAGAGATGGATGTCCAGGCCCTGAGTCCGCGGCACTTCAGCCCTTCTTGCAGAAATTGTTGGTCCCTCTACAGAGGGTAGAGCCGGAAGGATGGATACAGGCTGGCAAACATGAACTCGGATCTTGCTTAGGAATATTTGCCTTCCGAGGCACAAATGTCCAAGGAGTGGGCATTCTTTGCTTTTTAAAAATTATTTTCATGGGGGCTGGAGTGATAGCACAGCAGGGAGGGCGTTTGTCTTGCACGTGGCTGACCCGGGTTCAATTCCCAGCATCCCATAGGATCCCCCGAGCACCGTGAGGAGTAATTCCTGAGTGCATGAGCCAGGAGGAACCCCTGTGCAATGCTGGGTGTGACCCAAAAAGCAAAAAATAAATAAACAAGAATTATTTTTATGAAGACACTGTGATTTACAAAGTTGTTCTTAATAGAGTCATTTTCAAGCTCACAGTGTTCTAGCACTCGTCCCACCACCAGTGTCCCCCTCCCTCCACCACCGTCCCCAGCTTCCCTCTCATCCCACCCCCCCAAGTGTATCCCTTTGGGAGGCATAGAGCAAATTTATTTCATATTGCTTACTCCAAAAAAACTTAAAGGAATGACAAATCAAACTACCTGAAAATAAATCAGTAAAAGTCGATTTTTGAAGGTTGCTAAAGGATTTAACCTATGTAAATAGAGAAATTCAAGTCATTTAATACGATGTAATGCCTGTTTTCACTTGCAGAAATAGCTATTCAACTCTGGCATCTTGAATATATTGTGCATTTCTTGATACAGAGGTAGATTTGGGGCTCACTTCCAACACAGCTTGGGCTGACAGGGACCCTACTCAGCGATGCTCAACTTAATGGCACTGAGCTAGTGCTTCTGTGCCAGGGCTTGTGATACAGTGCTTCTTGGTCCTGACAGTGCTGGGAAGCCATTGGGGCTCCCCACCCCAGTCATGTTAGGGGTGGTGGTGGCATATGGTGCCGGGATTGAGTCCAAGGTCTCAAGTCTACAAGATGTGTGTGTGTGTGTGTGTGTGTTTTGCTTTTTGGGTTCCACCCGGCAATGCTTAAGGGTTCCTCCCGGCTCTGCATTCAGAAATTCCTCCTGGCGTTGCTCAGAGGACCATATGGGATGCTGGGAATTGATCCCAGGTCAGCCGCGTGCAAGGTAAATGCCCTACGCACTGTGCTATCGCTCCAGCCCCGATGTGTGTGTTTTTACTTGAGCTACAACCCAGGCCCAATGGGCTTAAAACATTAGTCATGAGGTTGGCTCAAAAAATACAACGTACAACTCTAAGACCAATTGGCGTGTCCCCAGAATGGTTGGACATAGAGGGTGGGGAATTTCTGTACAAGGGAATCAGTTGTATGGTGAGGGTTTGAACTGTACTTTTACTGGTGAACTGGACATAATTCATGCACCTGTTGACTTTCATATGGTTTTAATTCTAATGATGGAGACTTGTACCATGAAACATGTGCAGGTTCTATTGCTGCTTTACTCTGATGAAGAAAAATTTAAACTAGAAGTGAATTGAGTAAAGGTAAGAAGGAATGTATGAGACTCATTGAACTGGTGATGAAAGGTCTAGGGACTGGAGTGCTAATACAGCGGGTAGGGCATTTGCCTTACACATGGCCAAACCAGGTCCAATTCCCAGCATCCCATTGGTCCCCCGAGCACCACCGGGAGTAATTCCTGAGTGCATGAGCCAGGCGTAACCCCTGTGCATCGCTGGGTGTGACCCAAAAAGAAAAAACAGAAATATCTATTGCAGTGGGGTACTGATTTAATGAAATGGAAAAACTGGGAAAATTATAATAGGCTAGCATAGGTGAGACCGAAATCGAGAAGGTGGTGTCATCCCTGGGGTGATAAGCCTCAGAGAGGAGTGCCAGAGGTGGTCCCCAAGCGAAGCCTGTGGGGAATGATGAGTGCTCCAGCCCTCCCTCCCAGTAATCTTTCTCTAATTTTTTCCTTGCCCCCCTCAATTGACAAAGCTCCCATGTCTCTTGTCTTATTGCACTGTGAGATACTCACAATAAATGAAGAGTGCTGGGTGTGGTAGTGGGTATCTTTGTTTTATTCCTAACATAAATAGATATGCATTTATTAATCAGGGGCTGGAGAGATGCTATAGGGGTTAAACTTGCCTGCAGCCAGTTTTGGTTTAATCCTCTGCGTTATGAAAGGTCACCCCAAGCCCCACTAGGAGTGACCCCTGAGCACAGAGCCAGAAGTAAGCCCTGAGTACAGCTGGGTGTGGCCTCCAAACCAACAAAAACAAAATTATTTACAGTGGTGTAGTTAAAATAGTCTTTATCCTATAGAGAGAGTTCCTATTCACTTGAGCAAGCTACAATGAACCTATTGTTTTCTTCTTTGACCTACTGTCACTGTCACTGTTCACTGTTCTCCCATTGTTCATCGATTTGCTCGAATGGGCCCAGTAACGTCTCCTTTGTGACACTTGTTACTGTGTTTGGCATATCGAATACGTCACAGGGAGCTTGCCAGGCTTTGCCATGTGGGCGAGATACTCTCAGTCGCTTGCCGGGCTCTCTGAGAGGGCCAGAGAAATCAAAGGCAGAGGAACCGAACTCGGACCAGCCATGTCGGCCGCATGCAAGGCAATGCCCTACCTGCTGTGCTATCACTCCAGCCCTTCTTTGACGTAGAAGAAGGATATTTTATTTTATTTTTAATTTGGGTTTTAGAGCCACACCTCACAGTGCTCAGGGCTTCCTCCTGGCTCTGCACTCATGGCTTATACCTAGCATGCTTGGAGGTCCAAATCTGGTGCTGAAATTGAACCTGGGTTGGTCACGTGCAAAGCAAGCACCCTACCTGCTGTAGTATCTCTTCAGCCCCAGGGATAAATAGGTTAATAATGGATTTCTAAGGTTGAACCATCTTTAGATTACTCTTTGGAGTCATTATATATACAATTATATATATAATTATATAGATATACAATATATGAATCTTCTAACAGGGAGTTTGGTTACTCTACAATATATTGCTCTGAGGTGTTTTGTGTAATCTTAAGTGAGATGGTCAGCCCCACATCCCACAATGCTTTAACTTCCATTTCCTTATCTCCTTTCCCAGGCTACCTCCATCCCAGGTTTTTCAATTGACTCCTGGTTCATCTATTCTTACTTAACCAGGCTGAGACCCATTCAACCTTATTTGTTCAGTGGCAGATAGCATCCATCCTGCCCACCCTCTGCTTTCTTTCCTTGGCTCAGATGATTTTACAGCCTTGACCCAGGACTTTCTGGACTGAGAACTGAGCTGTGCCTCATGCCTATTGTATTTTTCCAGCCTTCTATGTAATCACATGCATCTGGTATTGCATGATCTCTGCATGACGGGTCCCTCTTGGTTTGCAGGACGGATGTTTTCTTTTTTAGAGTTGAGATAAAATTAACGTAAACTTCACTGTCGATCATTTTCAACTATTCATTAGTCTTTAGTCCAATCCAGTGCTATGTGTCATCATTTCTACCTCGTCCCAAGAAATGTGCATCCCTTGTTCAGGAAACCCTGGAACACCATTAAGTACTCGTTCCTCAATCTTTCTTCTCCCTCCCCCTGGGTCCCTGACAACCACTAGTCTGTGTCTGTCTATAGGTTCACCTATATTTTGCAAGTTCTATGTAAGTGGAATAATACCCTATGACTTTTTAATTCATGGTACACAGATGTTTATAGCATCACAATTCACATTAGCTCCAATGGGGAAGCCACCCACACACTGACGAGTGGACAAACACACTTTAATATGTCGATGTGATGGAATCCAGCCACAAATGAAGCAGGATTCCTCCTGGAACACAGATGAGCCCGGGAAACATATGGTGTTCAATGGGAGAAGCCACACTTTTTCTTGTCTGCTTTTGCAGAAAACAAGCTTAGAGTCTGGCCGTTAATCTTCCAGGCTGAGCTGGGAGAGTCGCATCAAATTCAGACATCGATCTGAAGCCAAGAGAGAGCAGACGCTGCCTCTCACCTGTTTATTTAACTCTTGATGTGCACAAATGAACATTTCTAGCCGGTAAGTGTGATATCAAGGGCCCTTTCTGCAGAGAGCAGAAAATTTTAGAGCCATCACTGCTCCGTGCTAAAATATTTGTGGGAAGCTGGATGCTAAAACGACCTTTTCATTTGTCGTGGTCTGTTTTGTTTTGTTTTGTTTTTAGTAAGAGATGCAAAAAACCTTGTACCCATGGACCCCAACGGCTTATCAGATCCGTACGTGAAACTGAAACTGATTCCTGACCCCAAAAGTGAGAGCAAGCAGAAAACCAAAACCATCAAGTGTTCTCTGAACCCCGAGTGGAACGAGACCTTTAAATTGTAAGTGAAATGATGGCGGCCCAGCGTGGGCTCCCTGGGAATGGGGAGTTCCTCTCTCAGCTCCTGTTTCCTGCCTTCCCTCTCTTTCCCTCCCTCTTGTCTTCCTTCCCTCCCCGCCTCCACCTGCATTTTGCCTTGCATGCCAAATAAAAATTGGAACTTTTTTTTAAAATAGAGTTGAGAATGTCTGTGGTGTGGGGGTGTGGGTGGCATAGAAAATCATATGATGTGTTGCTAGGTGAAGGCAAAATCTGGGGGAGCAGCTTTGGGTCCCCAGTGAACGGAGGGGTCTCCCTTAAGGTGCAGTGATGAGGTAACATCGTTAAGGTGAGGTTCTTGGAGCAAGATGGGCTCTAGCCCCCTGGGCTGGCTTCCCCAGGAGTGCTCCAAGCCCCAGGAGTTGCTTCTGACTGTTGAGGGACCAACCTGCATTGATTCAGTCAGGAGATGGGGGTGGAGCTGATGCTTGTCTGTGACAACCTCAGTCTTAAATACTTCCAGGGTCATTTCCTCTCCACTTGACCCCCAGGGCGCTAAAAGCTGGGCTCAGAATTGCCTGGAAGTAAGGGGTAGAGTGGGGCTCAGCCCCCAAGGCCACTGGACAGAAATAGGGGTATTCTGTATTTCCTCTAACTGAGGCCCGTTTCCCCCTCAGTCTAGGATAAGCCCCAGCACCCAGTGTCCCCTGACCAGCCAGCGCCCACAAACCTGTTCCTCCAGGCGTTTCTCATCCTCCACCCACACACATGCGACTCTCTCTCTCTCTCTCTCTCTCTCACACACACACACACACACACATACACACACACACACACACACACACACACACACACACACACACACAGTTACATAATTGGCACCGGATTGCTTAGAGTGTTGGGAGGATTCCTCGGCACCACCAGCCCTCCACAGGCATATGGCAGCAGTGGGTAGAACCGTTCCAGCCGAGTGACCCAGGTGCCCCTCCTGGTCCCACCATGGGCTGCCAAACAGGGGTGCCCCTCTCAGGGGGATCCTGCTCGGGCTGAGATGGAATCTGAGTGTGCTGACCCCTTGTCTCAGGGCACCACCTTTACATCTGCCTGCCTGGGCCGCGGGAGAGATGCTTGCCTTGCACACGGCCCAGCTGGATTTGATTCCCAGCATCCCTTAGCCCCCCCCCCCGCCCCCCCGAGCATCATCACAAGGGACTCCTGAGCACAGAGCTAGAATTAAGCTCTGAGCACTGGTGGGTGTCACACCCAAACAAACAAGCAAACCAGACTGTGAAGGAAAATCACACAACTCCCCCTGGGCCTTGTTCTCTGTTCCTTGAACCTTGAACCTTGTTCTCATGTTCCTTGAACCTTGAACCCTGTTCTCATGTTCCTTAAACCGTGGACCTTGTTCTCTTCTCCTTCACTCCTGCCTGCTGACTGTTCCTCCCCTCTGTGCAGTCAACTGAAGGAGTCGGACAAGGACAGGAGGCTTTCGGTGGAGATCTGGGACTGGGACCTGACCAGCAGAAATGACTTCATGGGCTCCTTATCATTCGGCATCTCGGAGCTGCAGAAAGCTGGTGTGGACGGCTGGTAAGGAACCTCTCACTTCGAAAGGCTCCTGGGGTCCAGCGGGAGCCCTGCTTTCCTCCCAAGGGCTGACTGTCTTCAGCATGGTCAGCAGGTGGCTGCTGGCTGATCAACACCAGCTCCCAGATACTTCCTTTGGTCCTTGCCCTTAAAAAAAAATCACCTCCTGGGGCCAGAGAGATAGTACAGTGTGGAAAGCATTTACTTTGCATGTGGCTGACCCAGGTTCGATCCCTGGCATCCCAGATGGTGGCCCCATCACCGGTAGGAGTAATTCCTGAGTTGCAGAGCCAGGGAAACCCCTGTGCATCACGGTGACCCAAAAAGCAAAAAAAAAAAAAAAAATCACCTCTGATATTTTGGAAAAAAAACAAAGCAAAACAAAACAGGACATTTCCCATATTCCAGAGAAATCTGGACTCCTTGTATGTGTGGTCACTCTGGGTCCAGAAGGCAGTGCACGAGAGCAGATGAGTAGGTGACGCCCCTGCCCCCATAGGCACATTGTGGTTTTTCTGTTTGCCACAGACCCCACCACTCCTTAAAGTCTTCCCTGCCCACACTTTCTGCAGTGATACCATCTGACCAGCCCCACGGGGACTCAGGCGTCTCTAGGGCTTTGCGGGTTTGCCCAGTGGTCAGAGGTGGCTCTGCTAAGACATGCCTCTGTAGTGGCCCCCTTCAGTTGGACGCTTCCTCGGCCAGGCCACAGAGGTTCTGGGGCTCAGGACCATTCCCTCTTGTCCAGACACCAACAGAGACGCCAGGTAAGGCCTACTGCCACTCCTGCTTTGTGTTTGGAAAAGAGTTCAGCCAGATCTGGGGTGCTACACATTCGTTTAGCCTACTACTCCCTTTTTTAGGAAAAAGAAATAACAATTACTCAGCACCCCCATTCCCCAAAATCTACCTTCGTTCAGAGAACAGATAGAAAGTGTGCCCCCTTCCTGCCCCTGCCCCTGAGGCTACTACTGCACCTCCTTGGGTGGGCCCAGTGCCCCCTTCCTAGGGGGGCTTAGTGTCTCCTGCTCTGGGAAGCACTGGGCTAGGGAGGTCGGCCTGGCCCTGAGGCTCTGGGCAAGACAGGAATTGGCAGCTCTGGTTTCTTGGAGAACAGCGACTTAGCGTTTCTAAGCACTTTTCCTTCCGTGTGTTCTCAGGCGCCAGAGAAAGACCATCAGAATCAGGGTAGGAGACAGCAGATGGGGACTGAGATTCTTGGCTTGCACGCGGCTGACCCCCTGCCCACAGCGCATGTTCCTCCCCCTCCCCAGCCCCAGCCCAAGTCCCGCCAGGAGTGATCCCTGAGCACAGAGCTCAGCATAAACCCTGAGCACTGCCAGGCCTGCCCCCAAACCTCAAGCCAACCAAACAAGAGACTCAGAATCCGGCTGTTCCTCAGGGCTTCTCTTTGCTGTCACCCTTTTGTGAGTGACCTCCACGGTTGTTCATGCAGTGGCGGCCTCCGTCTGCTCATTGGGAACCCCAGCACCAGACAGAAGACGGGCCGCCCTCCAGCACCTCGCTTCTTGCGGAGGAAAATCCCCTCAAGGCGTGAATAGCCCATCAGAAGGATGTGAAGCGGGACCGGAGCAAACGGAATAAGGGGGGCTGGGGAGTGGCTCAAGGCTAATGTGGCTGCACGTTCAGAACCCTGCACCCTTGTTGCCATATGGGATGCCGGGGATTGAACACGGGTCGACCACGTGCAAGGCAAACACCCTACCCGCTGTACTATGGCTCTGCCCTCGTCTGCGTCTCTGACTTGACGTTTTCCTCTGCTCTTTCCTTTCCCAAAAGTACATCTAGTTAGTGACAGTTGTAGGGAAGTGGGGCTTCCAAGTTGGTGTTTGGAGCTCCTGGGGGTTGTTCCTGGCGATTCTTGGCCAGTTGGGCCGAAGGGTTTTGTACCTGGGCCCGGGGCTGTGGGGCTGCTCGGACCACCCCAGCAATGCTTGTATGTTCTGGGGAGCAAGCCGGTCACTGGCGCGGTGTCCTGGGATCCTAGTGCTGCGAGCAATGTTCACCCCCAGCAGAATCTGTTGGATACCAAACGCCTCTCAGGCCCTGGGGGCACCACGGGAGAGAGTGAGGCCCCTCCCTGAGAGGTACATGCCCCCTCTCTAAGCCTGGGGTGACAATGGGAGTGTCACGGCTGACAATTCCTATTCTAGAGCAGTGTTTGGGGGTGCTGGGCCCATGGCGTGGGGTGGGAGGCAGTAGAGCCCTCTGTTTCGTTTTGTGTTTTTCTGATCAGTCCTGCGTCCCACTGGTGGCTCACTCTAGACTGTGTCTTCATGAATGCAAACGGCAGCATTTGACATCAGCCTGTTCATACCGATTGACATTTTTTCCCTCTGAAACAGAGATAACTGGTCTGAGAAGATCCAACAGTTCTGCTGGGTGTTCTGACCTTTCTGTGGCCCCAGTCTTAGAAGTCCAGATTTTTGACCCAGTAATTCTTTTTGTTGTTGTTCTGTTTCGTTTTGTTTTTGAGCCATACCAGCAGTGCTTGGGATTTACTCTGGGCTTTGTGCTCAGGAATCACTCCTGGTGACCCAGGGGGCCATATGTGGTGCCAAGGGATCAGATTTGGGACAGACACATGCAAGGGGAGGACATCGCATCACTGTGCAGTTCCTTTGCTGCAGTTTGCAGTTGTTTTTTCATTTCCTTTTTGTCCTGCTTTTATTGAGCCCCGTTTTTTAACCGCCAATGCTAGCTTTTTTTGGTTCACACTTTTATTACTAATGCTGAATGAACGCAGTGGCACTTTTTCGTCAGAAAATAGAACCTTGGCATTTTTCTTTCTATTTCTTCTTTCAATTTCCCTTAGCAGAGTTTCAGGGCAGCTCTGTGTCATGTGGACGTTTTAATAAAGGAATGAGGTTTAACTCCCCTGTAAGGGCGAACTTCTCAATATTTATTGATTGTTCTCCTGATAAAGCTTGGGTCTCTAATGCTGCCAGAGTTTCTGTTTTATCAGCCCGAGCCAACCTAAATGTCTAATGCTTGTTATGGTTCTCCCAGGAAAAGGCTTATTTGTAAAAATCATTTCTAATAGACTCTGCCTTTTGTGGATAGGGTGTCGTGATTGTCCCTATTACTCTTCAAAACTTATTTTGAAAAAATAAAAGGCTTGTTTTCAGAAATGACTTAGAACAGGCCAGAGATGTAGCTATGCTATGGAGCACTTGCTGGCCTGTGTGAGGCCCCAGAGCTCAAGACAGAACCAAACGAACAGAACAGAACCAGGAGGATGGAACAGAACCAGACGAACAGAACAGAACCAGACAGAACACAGCAAAATGGATGGACAGAACAAAATGGACAGAACAGAACCAGACAGATCAGAACCAGACATACAAAACAGTACCAAACAGAACCAACACACAGAACAGAACCAAATAGATAGATAATGGAACCAAACAGATGGAACAGAACCAAGAAGACAGAACAGAACCACACCCATAGAACAGAACCGAGCCCACAGAACAGAACCGAGCCCACAGAACAGAACCGAGTCCACAGAACGAAACTCAACCCACAGAACAGAAACGAGCCCACAGAATGGAACTGAGTCCACAGAACAGAACCGAGCCCACAGAACAGAACCGAGTCCACAGAGTGGAACCAACCCCACAGAACGGAACTCAACCCACAGAACAGAAACGAGCCCACAGAATGGAACTGAGTCCACAGAACAGAACTGAGCCCACAGAACAGAACCGAGTCCACAGAGTGGAACCAACCCCACAGAACGGAACTCAACCCACAGAACAGCATGTCTTCCAGCAGCAGTGAGCTGTGTCACTGCAGCTCTGCCTGGCCACTGCAGACATTCATTCATCCCTGCATTCATTCATGCACTCAAGTGCTCGTTTCTGCTTCTGTGAACGTACAAAGCAAGCACCTCCTACCCCCAGGAGACTCAGGAGCAAACCGGGTGAGAATCAGTGGCCTCACGGGGCTTCTGTCTTCCTTTCAGACTAGCAAACAACGTTAGAAAAATCAACCAAGGTCTTCTGCTGGCAGACCAGGTAGCATGACGATAGCAAGTGTTAACATTCATGGTTTTGGTGAACAGTTGCTGCATTTCACTGCCACCAAGTGCCCTGACCCTTCACCTCTGTCCCTGTGTTACTCCCCAGACCACCACTTCCTTCCTCGCATCTCCCCTCCCCCAACTCCCCCATGCCCTCCCTCCCCGACTGGCACTCTGCTCTGCAGCCAAAGGCCAAGGGTATGTTCTCACAGGATATGGCCCAGTCCCTTGTTTTGTTTCTCTATATACGATGGATGGGTGAGAGAATCCGGTTAGTTGTTCTTTTCCCACTGACTTATTTCACTTGACATGGTGCCTTCTAAATCCATGTTAAGTTGCAACAAATGCAAGATTTCCTCTTTCCTCGGGCACATTGTATTCCTTGTGTGCTATACTGTAGGGTTCATCTGCCGCTGCATCCCGGGGTTGTTTCCATATCCTGGTTATTGTATTCCGGGCGCAGTGCAGTGAATTTGGATGTGTATACATCCCTGAAAAATGACTGTTTTTGTGCTCTTGGGATAGATGCCAAGAAGTGGCAACATTGATCTTATGGAAGCTCTATTCTTAAATTTGTAAGAAGTCCTCCAGGGTGCTTTCTCTAGAGGCTGTATCCGATGACATTCCCTCACAGAGGGTGAGGATTCCTTTCTCTACACATCCCTGAGAACAACAACAACAACAACAACAACAAAAAACCAGAACAAAAGAAAACAGAAAGGACGGACGGTGTTGGGCACTGGTAGTGATGAGGTGCGAGAACTTTGTGCATCATCAAAACCGTTCATGTTAACGCCAGCCATGTTACCTAAACTGCAAAAAGAAATCAACCAGCAGTAAACATAGCAAGTCTGACAAATGCTTTGGAGAAACATCGGTGAAGAGTGACTTCAGGACGCTGGAGAGATGGGGGTGAGCAGAGGGTCCAGCGAAGCACTCCTGGGGATGGTGCTAGAGGAGCAGTGACCATGTGTGAGGCAGGTGGCCTAGAGAGGGAGCAGAGCAGGTGCCAAGGGCCTGTGGGAAGCTGTGACTGCAGGTGGGGGTGGGGAGATGCTGTGGAGTAACTGGGGGCTGGAGTTGGACCACAGCTTCCAGGGATGGGGACGAGGACAGCAGGATGAGGGGACTTGGCACGCCCCATGGGGACCCCTGGAGGACTGTCTGCTGTTCAGAGTGAGTTGAGGACTTCGGGAAGGAGGAAAACTGCCTCCACTTCCAACCTGTGGGCTGTCCCCTCCCTCCTTTCTTTCCTCTGGGGTGCTGCAAAGGCTTTTGTTTGGGGGAAACAACCTGTGATGCTAACGAAGCATACAGAACCCAAAGACCCTTCTTGAATCTTCTCAGAGGGAATCTTCTGGAAGATTCATTCCCAGAAGATTCTCTCTGATTCTTCCCAGAGGAAACCATTTTCCTGCTTTATTACCATCATTTCGATCCCAGTGTTCCTCTTGTAAAAAATTGATTAATTAATTAATTAATTATCGCTGGAGCAATAGCACAGCGGGTAGGGCGTTTGCCTTGCATGTGGCCAACCTGGGTTCGATTCCTCAGCCCCTCTTGGAGAGCCCAGCAAGCTACCGAGAGTATCCCACCTGCAAGGCAAAGCCTGGCAAGCTCCCCGTGGCATATTCGATATGCCATAAACAGTAACAACGAGTCTCACAGTGGAGATGTGCCCACTCAAGCAAATGGATGAACAACGGGAGGACAGTGCTACAGTGCTAATTAATTAATAAACATTTTCTTTCCTGTTCGATTTCATTCTTTTTGAATAGACAACTGTGTCTTAAGCCATAGTTAGCTGCGATTAGGTTTCTTTATACTTTCTTTTGTGATTACTAAGAATGGTGTGTTGGTTCTCTGACAAGCATCAAAGCAAGGTGAGGCTTTGAAGGCAAATGTCCCAGGTTCCAATGTGAGCCACTGGCTTCTGCTTTGCTTCTTGGGGGCTCCATCTTTTTGAGAAAAAAGTGGTGCGTGAGTCACAGGATCGTTGCGATGTTATAGGAGTTAATATAAGTGCAGTGTGTGTCTGGCAAATAGTAAACTCTCCGTTAAGTTTTATCACTATGAATTGGACCATTAGTAGAAACATGTAAAACAAGTAAAATAAAGAAAATAAAAAGGGTTGATTGAATCCCACTGCCTGGAAGTTGTCACTCTTGCCATGACCATTCTCTTTCTCCAGTCTGCATAAAAATTGTTTTCTCTCTCAGTCTGTGTAAGAAACAAATGTGAAGTCTTACCCCATTTGGCAGCTTGCATTCTCCACCCAACATGGCGTTCTGAACCTCTCCCCTCGAATTTTGGCTTCAACGATTTCAAACAACATCATCTTAATGGCGGGACATGAAGCTATTAAAAATGATGTTGCATTGTAAATGGTGCATGTAAGTTGAGGCAGATCTATAGATTAGACTCCAATAATCAAATTCTAAGGATTGTCATGCTTACCCAGATAACTGATTCTGTTGTGAGCATACTTGTAGCCAAATCTTTGTGGATGACTTTAATTATTCGCTAATAAATTCCTAAGCATGGAATTGATGACTTAGAGAACATATGTATTATTATTATTAAAGTATTTGCCAAGTGATCTGCAATGTTTTTCAGTAAATTTGCATTTTCACCAGTGCTGTGTGAGACTTTATTTCACCCATACTTGTCAGCATCTGATATTATAAGTTTTAAAGCTTATGATACAAAGATTATACATATTTAGTTTCTAATTATACATTGTTTCAAATAGGGAATGTACATTATTTATGCAGTTACATTTGTGAAATATACAGTCATTGGTTATACATGCTTATTATGCATAATGTTCATTATACATAGTTGCATGCACGTAATACCCGTTATTATACAGATTTAGTTACTATTCACATATAGTTATAGATTTGTAACATGCACTGTAGATATTGTTACTGTTGCAAATTTATACTGTTGTCATTTGTCTTTATAAATGTCCAGGCTTTTGCCTATTACATTGGTATTGATCTATAAGAACTTTCTATATAAAATGTGATTAATAACGCTTTGCTGACATCTTTATTACAGTATTCCCCCTCTTATATTTTATGTTAGTTTGGAAATAAGCATTTTCTTACTGGTCTATAAGGCATTTGATTCCATCTAATGAATATAAGTGTCAAATCAACTGTCAGAAAAATTTCTTGAATTTGCCTTCTGATTCACTAATAGTTATTTGAATGACCTCTCTTGGTATTTACTATCTTCAGGGGATTTTTAAATTCGGTAATTATATTTTCTTCTGAAAGTAATCTTTCATAATTTCAGATGTGCCTTTTTCATAGATGCATTAGCCTCCTGAATCTCGTGAAAATACAAGTTCTAGAATTGTTTGTCTTTCCAGGGGGACTCTCAGCTTATTCCTCATAGTGGCTGCTTAAAGAAAGAAGCATTTCTGTTTGATTTTTCTTATGGGGAAAGAATCTCTCAACTGCTTCTCAGGAGTTCTGGGGCCCCCACCAGCAATTCCTGGTCAACAGTACCTCGACTAAATGCAAAGGCTTGAGGGAGGGGTGCAGCCTGGGTCCTACCAGTGCCAGGGGTTATCTGGGCCACCCTGGGTTTAAATAAGTATCTGATTGTTGATTTATTTGTTTATTCTTATAGGAGGGTGAGTACAGAAAAGCCTAAAGCCCCTGATCTAATCACTCAGCTCTAGATGAAGGGAGAAAGAAGTTCTTAGGAGTTTTAGAAATTTACTCTGCCTGATCAGGGGTCCTGGTCTTTGGGAGTTCTGAGACTTACTCCTGACTCTGCCCAGGGATCACTCTTGGCAGGCTCAGGGAACATATGAGAATTGAACCAGGTCAGCCACATGGAAGGCAAATGCCGTACTGATTTACTGTCACTCTGGCCCCTGTATTTGTATTTTTCAGAAATCCTAACTCATGGCCTTGAGCAGGGAACCCTTTTGGAAACTTCTGCTCTGGTGGCTTGCTTTGCACCTACACCCGGCTATGCTCAGGGCTTGCTCCTGGCTCTGCAACCGGGGATCACTCCTGATATTGCTCAGAGCACCATATTGCAGCTCTAGGGATTGGATAGGGGTCTGCTGCATGGGGGCAAGCGCTTCCCCATAGTCCTGTCTCTCTGATTCCTGGGAATATTTCTGCAGAGAGCATCCACCTGGCAGGATAGAGTCCACATTCCTCTGTGTGTCACTGAGTGCCAATGGGCTCAGAGCACGTGGTTGAAATCCCCAACTGAAGAAGTTGATAAGAGGGGCTTCCCCGGCCCCTGTCATAATAGGAAAGCACCATATGGGCAGAAATAGGTGACGTCATAGATGACTAGATGACACACCCAAGAAAGATGTGTCGTAGACAGGGAATGTGACATTCTATCAACCCGGAATGTGCCATTTTTTTCTGGCATCTGGGAAACAGCTGTCGCAATGACTAGCATGGCTATAAACACAGGTACACCGCACCCCCCAAAGAAAACTGCCCCCGCCGCTGACCCATTGTGCTAAAGCTGGGTGTTCCCATGTCCTCCGGGCCCTCTCCCAGGAGCAGAACCCTGCTGTACAGTCACCAACCCAGCCTCATCGTCTTGTCTCCCCAGGTTCAAGCTGCTGAGTCAGGAGGAAGGAGAGTATTTCAACGTGCCGGTGCCTCCAGAAGGAGGGGAGGGCAATGAGGAGCTGCGGCAGAAATTCGAGGTGAGACGCCCGCCCGTTCTGCGTCTTTTCTGCTTCTCAGGGAAATCCTGCCGCCATCGTTGGTCTCGGGGCGCTTTTTCCTATGTTCCCCGGGTTTGAGCTGGAGCGGCTGTTTCCTTTCGCACTGTGGTTCTAGGAAACATCTGCTTGTCCTGCAGGGGACATGAGGGGCTGGTCACCTGGTGCAGCTGCGTTCTCGTTCTGATCTTAGACCTTCCCTAGAGAGTGTGTCAGGGCGATCACTCTGGGGCAGTAATTGGGGGCAGGGACTGGGAGGGGGGTCTGGGGGAAGGAAGGATATGGAAGAGGAGTGATTTTTTTAAAAATGTATTGAATCTATTAAAAGTAGGTAAAGGGATATATATGATAACCTACAGTACAGACAGACAGGCAGGCAGACAGGCAGGCAGACAGGCAGGCAGACAGGCAGGCAGGCAGACAAAGAAGAAAGTGCCTGACATAGAGGCAGACTGGGGATGAGGTTGGGGTGGAAGGAGGGAGACTGGGGTCATTGGTGGTGGGAAATATACACTGGTGAAGGGACGGGTGTTGGAACGTTGTATGACTGAAACCCAATTGTGGACAACTTTGTAACTGTTTATCTCACAGTGATTTAATAAAACAAGTTAATAAAAAATTTTACTCAATCATAGCACAGCAAGTAGGGCGTTTGCCTTTCATGCAGCCGACCCGGGTTCGATTCCTTCGTCCCTCTCTGAGAGCCCAGCAATCTACCGAGAGTATCCCAGAGCCTGCAAGCTCCCTGTGGTGTATTTGATATGCCAAAAACAGTAACAACAAGTCCCACGGTGGAGATGTTACTGGTGCCCACTCGAATAAATCAATGACCAATGGGAGGACAGTGCCACAGTGCAGTGCTACCATGAGATCCAGAGTTACAAAATTGTTCCTGAGTGGCAGACGTGCTGTGTTGGAGCACCTGTCCATTCCCAGTGTCTCCTTCCCTCCACCAATGTCCCACACTCCCTTCCACCCCCACCCTCCTCTGTGCCAGGAATTTTGCCTTTTCCCTTCCAGGTACTGTGGCTTGCAATGCGCTTGGTGAAAGGATCCCATGCATGTCACTCTCCTTCCTTTGAGCACCCAGTTCTTGTGCAGAGTGACACTGCCCCCTGTCATGGACACAGCAGTCCCTTTCCTGACCTACCTGCCCTCCCCATATTGTGGGGAGCTTTCTAACAAGGACCTGGCCTTCCTTTCTATTGACCATTTTTTCAGAAGTGATGCTTGGGGGGCCGAGTCACTGGACTGAGTTGGGAAATTCCTGGCCAAAGGGAGTTGATGGCATTGGAGACTGTGAAATCCCCATGTGGGTCTGAACATTCTGTTGGAGAAGGAGTTCTTGGCTTTGACCTTGAATTCACTGCCTTGACCTCCAATAAATTATTTCTCTTTGGGGAAGGGCCAAACAATACCCATTTTTGTCTTAAAGTGGTGGCTCTATAGGACACATCCCGGGTTTTATGATGAAAATGTTTGGGAAAGATGGCTTTTGCGTGCTTTCATTATGTGTTGTGTGGAGTAATTTTAAAGTCATTTCAGAAGGGAAAATACATTTTGTTCAAGGAAACTCAATATATAGAGTCTGGTGGGAAATCAATTCCAGAGAAGCAATGATGGCCCACTAACTCAAAAGAAACTCAAAATACCAGGTGTGAAATCCAAAAGGAAGTCAACTGCTGTCATTCCTCGTCATCAACCACACATACTTTCCTTGTAAAGTATGACCAGGACAGTGAGAGGGCCGGGATACTTGAAGAACACACAGGAGGGACACGTATCCTATCTGAGAGGTCAGAGTCTTTAAGGGCAATCAGTCAAAAGGAGACAGATTTCACGTAGGCCACATACATCATGTACAAAGGTCCTGAGTCAGAGAGGTATAGCTGAATGGCATGAGTGGGAGCAAAGTCCGGTGTGGGTAGCAGAGAGAGAACCAAGGGAAGATTCAAGGCAAGGGAGGGGAAATAGGTAGAAAACAGAGAAGAGCCATAATGAATTGGGCAAGGTCATTTATCCAAAAGCTTTGTGGACTTTCCCCTCATCTAGACACACACACACACTCACACACACACACGCACACACAAGCACACACATTTCTGTTTATTTTCTTTCAAGATTTGCTTATGAGTCTCTGGAACAAGGTTGGTAGTTGAACTTACAAGGCAGCAGCAGCTGCTGGAGCTTCAAGGGAGTACTGGGAAGCATGGGGAGGTCACCCTTCCTGACTCCTAGGAGTTTTCAGCCAAAAATACCCATGCATCTGAAGTTTTCTGCGGATTAGGTTCTCTGTGAAGCTCTGGCCTAAGGTGATGGAGTCTGACCAAAGGCATGGTGTGGCTTTGGGGCATGAGTGCAGTACCCCAGAGGTCTCAGCTGGGAATGGGTGCCGAGAAAGTTTTGCGGCTAGTTGATCTCTTTCAAGATTTATTTATGAGTCTCTGGAACAAGGCTGGTAGATGAGCTTATATGGAAGGGCTGTGCCTTAGAATGGTATGGAATAGACACTCTCAGTCTTTCTCCAGTGAACTGGGCCACAGAGAGCCATCCCCAAAGAGTCAGAGTTGAAAGACAGTGGCGGGACTTGTCCAGTCAGTGGAACTTAGAACTGGAAGGTGGTGAGCAGGATCAAATACCAGTCCTTCCGGAGAATTCTCTCCAGTTCTTCAACTCAACTTTCTGATGAAGTTGCATCTGTCAGTTATTTGGTTGCAAATATGCTGCTGTGTCTGAAAGACAGAGCCAGGATCTTCTTGCTTAAAACAAAGTCTCAGTTTGGCCAGAAAATCTCTTCAATCCCAGGACATCGGGGTGACATTTCATAACCCAAAGAAAACATTTCTTCCCCGCACAAAGCATTTGTCCGGGCCAGTTGTTGGCTGGAAGCAAAAGAATGATTTTATCTTCAGGCAACAAAATATGTCTCTTTATTTCTAGCAAGAGCCTGCAAATGCTTGTTTATGCCTGAATTATAATCGCACCCCACCATAGTTGTTGATTAAAAAAAGAAAATATTTCCAACAAACTGAAAATTGTTCTCAGGCACATAGAGAAATTTCAGTTGACCTTGAGCGTGAGAAATGTAATCCCCACGCGATAACCAATTAGCGCTCAGAATGACTCAGAAATTACTTTCAAGCCTCTTATCTGGAGGAATTCTGAGTGACGGGAAAATTGAGCTGCTGGCATTGGGGTAATAGAATTTCACGGTAGAATAGACTCGGTACTGTTGCCACACGTGGTATACTTCAGAACATCAGTGTTGGCTTTAATTGGATCGTGACCAGGGGTGGGGGCTTGGGGGAGGGGGGTTCACTAGACCGGTAGGATCACTGGGCCTAGGACAGAATCTGGGATTGCATGTGGGACTCCTTGGAATAGTACCAAAAGCATTCCAACTGTCTTGGAGTTTTAAAAAATCGAATGAAATTCGTGCTATGTACAAGGTCTGATTTAGTGTGTTGCGCTCAGTCCTCATGATCCCCCCCGAACGGACGGTGGGGCTCACCCCCATTTTTTCACCTGTGGGTGAGGAAATGAAGGTCCAGAGAAAGGAGAGCAGTCGAGGCAATTCCCGACATTCTCCCAAACTCCTCATTATCCTTCTTTGAGCTTCTCTAGAAATAGACTCCCAGGATTCAAGTTGCAAATAGTTTCTTGACAGACTTTATGGCTTCAAGTGCGGGCAGTTTTCTCTGGAGGTGGTCCCCAGGACCGACTTAGAGCTGGCATGCAACGGTGTGGAAAAAAAGGAAAGGGGAAAGAATAGAGATGGAGCGAGGGAACACTGGGACACCGTGGGCCGCGGGGGTGCAACCCTGCTGGAGAACAGGCAGAGCTGGGGGGATTGTGTGCCTTGGGGGTTTCCCCGTCCAGGGACAGGAAACAGGAAACAGGAGCCTTCTCCCCTCGCTCCCCATCCGTCCTGTTTCAGCCAACCTTCTCACCAGCCCTTCAGCATCCCGGCTGTAGGCTGTGCTTCCATGCTGAGTTCCTGGCACCAAGGAGGGAGCCGCGGGCAGTCATCGGGAGTGGTCACAGCCCAGACTCTTAGGGTGCCCCTGCCAAGGCGTCAGGACAGTGCTCAGAAGCTCTGAGCAGGTAGTTTGGGAGTCAGGATGCTGGGTTTGAGTGCCAGCTCCCTGCTTTGCTGGAGGCCTGCGACTCTCTCCCTCTCTCTGTCTCTCCCCTTCTCTCCCCCTCTCCCCCGTCTCCCCTTATCCCTCTCCGTTTCTCCCCCTTTCTCCCCTTCTTCCTCACCCTCTTTCACCTTCACTCTCCCTCTCTCCCCCTACTCCATCTCCCTTTCTCCTTCTCTCCCTTTCTCTCTCCCTCCTTCTTCCTCTTTCTCCTCCTCTCTCCTCCATCTTCCTCTTTTTCTCCCTCTCTCCCTCTCTTCCCCTTCCCCCTCCCTCCCTCTTTCTCTCTCTCCCCATAAGCACACGCATGTCACACACGTCACACATATCAGTCACATGCATATCACTCTCACACAGATGTCACACACGGCACAGTTACATGTGTGTCACTCACATCACACACATGTCACACGTGCATCACTCTCACATGTCCCTTTCACACGCATGTCACACATGTCAAAGTCAGGCATGTGTCACTTTCACACATATGTTGCACTCACACATGTCAGCCACCCAAAGGGCAGGTTCTGCACTCACAGCAATGATCCAGTTCTCCGCTGACCCCCCCCCCCCCCAGGGACACCCACACCACTCTATATGCCTCTCCCCCAACTGCACAGATTGTAACTCCACTTTAGACAACAGCCACAGAAACAGGGTCTTCAGGGCGCCCAGCTTCTGTCTGACCTGGCCGCAGCCCATGGATCCAGGGTCCTTTACAGATGGGCTGTCTGCTCAGGGCCCCCAGGATTCAGGGAGCGCCTGTGGTTCCGGTTTGATATAGAATCACAGAGATGACAGGGGGACACGGAGGCAATGATAGATGGAGGCGGGAGAGGGAGGAGCTCTGGGTGCAGCTGAGGCAGAAAGGGCGGCGGGCCTCTGTGCATTTGTGATGCCCAGGTTCTTCAGTCTTTTCATTCTTGAAAATATTGAAGAGGGGCAGGAACTATAGTGCAGCGGGTAGTGTCAGGCATTGGTCTTGCACACGGCCAACCCAGGTTCAACACCCAGCATCCCATATGGTCCCCCCAGCACCGCCTAGTGTTATTCTTGAGTGCTTGAGCCAGGAGTAACCCCTGAACATCACTGGGTGTGACCAAAAAAAATAAATTTAAAAAAATTTTAAAAAGAAAAAGAAAATATTAAATAATAAAGAGACTCAGACTCAGAGTTGAAAAGTAGAAAAGCTTGTTGGAAAGTAGAAGAGGCAAGAAAAGGAGCTTCTGCCAGTGGGGAGGGACTTAGAATAGGACTTAGTTAACGGGAGTTTTGTGGGTGCCCTTTTAAAGGCTCCTTGGACTCCTTCTCACTTCACAAGGATTTACAAAAGATGCCAGAGAATCACAGGGTTGTCTAGCTGGTCTGAATCTCTCTGGGTATTTTTTGCCCCTCATCTTGGTCCCCTGTTGGTCTAGGCTCCAGGACAGAGTTTATGGTCCTGGAAATCTCTGGCTGCTGGGGCAGGACTTTGGGAATGAAATGTGTCGGGCCAGTGGGGGAAGGGACACAAATCTTTCAGGCATCAATGCCAGTGATCTCAGTTTCCCTGTCAGCCTAGAGGCCAGGGCAGAGTTTGGTATTCCTGGGAAGCCCAGGAGTGCTGAGGCAGAACCTTGGGGCTGGAATGTGTGTCAGGTTGATGGGGGAGAGACAGAACATGTAGAGAACTGGCTCGCTCTCTCTCTCTCTCTCTCTCTGGCAAGGGAAAACTGAGGTTTCCTCTTTCAGTCCTTCATTAAGAGCTTCTGTTCTGGAAATATTAGGGTGTGCCGTCCCGTCCACCTACATGTGAGTGTGATTGCCGACCCGGGACCCGGAGTTGAGGGATGTTCATGGAGCATGATCAAGTGTCTACCCCACTTCCTGGGCTGGGACAAGACGCTCTCCTGGGGACTATCATGAATCATCTGAGAACCCACCAAGTCATCTGAATAGGGGAGCAGGGCGATAGGACAGTGGAGGGTGGGGTATTCGCCTTGCATGACGCCAAGTTTGGTTTGACCCCCATCACCCCATAGGGTTCCCTGAGACCCTCCAGGAACGATCCCTGAGCTCAGCCAGGTGTCAGCCCTGAGCATTTCCAGGTGTGGCTCCCAAAACAAAACCCCCCAAATGCGTCATCTAGTAAGGACAAAAGACACTCCTCTGGGCCCTCAGGAAACCCTGCGGGCGGGGGGGGGGAGGTTAGGAACCCCCCACACACACACCCCATTGGGCTTGGCTGCCAGGGGTTAAACCTGGGAGCAGAGGATGCTCCAGGCACAGGTTCTGTCAGGAAGTGGGGACAGGGATACAGGCTCTGTCGGGAAGTGGGGGCCGAGGCCAGCTGGGCATTCCTGGTCGTGCTCTGTACTTGCATTTCCGTGAAGCTCAAGAACAAACCTGACTTTACCTACGGGATTGGAAATCAGAACAGGGGGTGCCTGGGGTAGGGGGTAGCGGCATGGACAGGGTGGGGAGGGGGATGGGAGGGGGGACCTGCAGGGCCAGGTATGCCCTGGAGGGTGATGGGTGAGCTTGGGTGCACATTGTGGTCAGTGTGGAGATAGCTGTTGCATGGGATGGGGTGCGTGTTCCCATTGGCCTCTCGGTTCTTAAAACATTCTGAATACTCGGTTCTGAAAATGTGCCTTACCAAAAAGGAAAACGAGGGGAGAGGGTGCTTTGTCAGCACGACGGATGGACAGATGCAAAGACCACAGGGTGCCTTCACCTCATGGGGAAGAGCACCTCCATCCCTTCTCCACGCGGGAGGCTCCCAGCAGGAGCCAGAGTTGCCTTCCTTGATGCCTTTGCACTCCACAGTACTGGCAGCCCAGTAGGAGCATGCCAAATTAGATGGGGAAGCAACAGAGAAGCCAGCTAACGCTCAGTAAACAAAAACATGAGCACCAAAGGCTCAGCTAGCAACAGCAGCTCAGTAAACCCTCAGACAACGCCTCAGGGACCCCATGCTGAGATCAAATAATTTTCACCAGTTTCCTTTTGCGGAAGTACTTTTGGATAATTCCATTAGCCATGTAGTCGTAACAACCCATATAACATGAATGATTTGGTGCCTGCAGAGGGGGCTTGGGGTGGTAGCTGGGGGACAGGTCACACTGGTGGTGAGACTAGGGTTGGAATGTTGAGTGCCGGTAACACGTGCATCATGAAGAAGTTTGTAAACCAGGGTGTCTAAATAAAAGGGGAAAGATTTTTAAGAAAAGAAGTGAGGGGCTGTCAGAGAAGAATCCGAGGGACTCAGGGTCATGCAGCCTGTCCAGCCAGAGTTCACTGTGACACCATGTCTCACCCCTCAAAGCAAGCACAACAGCGAGGCTGGAGCGATAGCACAGCGAGTGACCCGGGCTTGAGTCCCAGCATCCCATATGGTCTCCTGAGCACCTCCAGGAGTCATTCTTGAGTGCAGAGCCAGGAGTAATCCCTGTGCATCGCCCGGTGTGACCCCCAAAAGCAAACACAGCAGCTCTGTCTCACTGGCTGCGAGCTCAGGGCCAGACCCCCATTCTCTGCTCACTTGCTGCCTTTGAGGTGACACGGGTGTTGCAGGTGGCAGAAAACCCCTCCTCTCGCACTGGGGACAGACACAGCCCTCGTCCCTCCTCTGCTTTCCCAACCAGATGCGTTCCTGAAAATGGTTCCCAGGGTCAGGGAAATGGCAGTGGAGGAGAAATAGTCCGTGCCCTGGCAGAGTTTCCAGTTCCTTGGGGTGGGGTTGTGGGTAGGAGGAAACCAGTGAAAGGAAAGTGGTCATCCAGTGTTCATGGCGGGCAGCGCATGAGGCAAGCAAGCAGGAACCCACCCAATCAACCCAGGAGAGCTTCCCTAGGAGGTTGGGGGGAGCAATGGAATTCCCAAGATCAGTGAAGGGGCGAGAGTGACCGGCCCACCCAGCAGTCCTCAAGGGGGCCAGACCCTGAGACCTGCAGGAAGCGAAAAGAGAATGAAGAGGGGGTTGCAGGGAAGGGGATGAATTTGGAGAATGAGGTGTGCCCTTGGCACAGATGTCCTTGTCCTAAATCTAACCAGCGGCCACCTGAGCCTTCGAGGCAGCAGGGACTCTCCTGGGTGTGAGAGAGCGTCCGTAGTTCAGCGTGGCATCAGGGGAGCCGGGTGAAGTGTCCTCACCGTGGGACTGGAGATAGGGAGGCAGCTGGATTCTGAGCAGCACAAGGAGGGGTTGTGGCTGTCCCTGGGGAGGGACAAGACTTACAGAAGCACTGAGTCGAGGCACGTCCTGCTCTTCTCCCAACCTGGAGCTGCCGAGCTGCCAAGGCCACATCTGGGCACCATTGGGCATCACGCATGAGCCACCCTCACCTCCTAATGCTCTGTCCCGTGTGCCGTGTGCTTTCCCCACAGAGGGCCAAGATCGCCCAGGGGTCCAAGACACCGGAAGAAAAGACCACCAACACCATCTCCAAATTTGAGAACAACAGCAACCGGGACCGGATGAAACTGACAGACTTCAACTTCCTGATGGTGCTGGGCAAAGGCAGCTTTGGCAAGGTAGGAAGAGTGGGCAGTGGGGGCGGAGAGCGGGGCAACGCCGCACCTAGATAGAGTAACTGAGGGCAAGGCCGAACCTAAGCGGCTCCCGTGGCCCTTACAGCCCAGTGAGGGGGACAGCAAGACGGTCCATTGACCCTGCTCTGTAGAATAAATACCCGGAAGGAAAAAGCATGGCCCCTGGACCACACACGAATCCAGAAGGGACTGTTTGAACCTGAAGCGGCGTGCGTTCCTGGACAGTGTCTCTGGCAGAGCACCCAGCAGAGGCTGGGGATGGCCCGACACACTCCAGGTGCCCACGTTGCCGGTCTCCTGGGGAGGTAGCAAAATTTGAGTAGGGGGACGATCACGCAAAAACTTGCAGGCTGTGCTCAGGAGTCAGGATTCCCTGCCCCCATTACCATGGAGGGCCATTGCCCGTCCTCAAGCTGAGAAGGGATGGGGGTGTGGCGGTCAGCACAGCTTCAAGGCAACCCTGGGACCCTGGGACTCCGGAGGCTTTTCCAGAAACCAGGTAACCCTGTGGTACTGACGCTGAGATAGTGTTATTGGACTAGAGCGATAGCACAGCTGGTAGGACGTTTGCCTTGCATGCGGAAGACCCGGGTTTGATTCCCAGCATCCCATAGGGTCCCCCGAGCACCACCAGGAGGAATTCCTGAGTACAGAGCCAGGAGGAACCCCTGTGATTTTTCTGGGTATGACCTGAAAAAGCAAAAAAGTGAGAGAGAGAGAGAGAGAGAGAGAGAGAGAGAGCAAAAGATGGTGTTATAACTATTCTCAATGCCTTTCGTGTTGTTTGGAGGTTTGGAATTCCTTGGTGGGCAACAAATATGTCTCAGGCCCAGCTCGGCCCGTGGACTCTGGTGTTCAAAACACACATCAAAATTTGCCCCATCTTTGTAGTTTGTATCAAGAACCTGGAGGTCCACTCTGATTCCCCAGGCCCTCTCCTCACCACTGTCATGGACAACCCACTGGGGGTGCGGCCAGCTGCATCTTCCTCCAGGGTCTGGCGGGCATTTGTTCACTTCTCTGCATCTTCACCAACGCATGCCCAGTAGGAAACCTCTTACTTCTAGAGAAAAGAGGGGGATAGAGAATGAGATGGAGATGGAGGGAAGACAGGGGGAGGGTGATGGAGCGAGAGATGGAGAGAGAGGGGTGGACGGACAGAGGGAGATGAAGCTGGAGCCAGAGAGAGCTCTATAGCCCAGCTGGACAGCAGCAAAGGTCTCTAACTGGTTTCCCTGCTTCCATACTGGTTCAGAGGATCAATAAACTTCCCATTTTGCAAGTCCTAAAGCTGAGAGAGGATGCTTATAAAGCTGACATGATAGGCTGAAGTGATAGTACAGCAGGGAGGGTGCTTGCCTTTCATGCAGCCGACCCTGGTTCAATCCCTGGCATCCCATGTGGTTCCCTGAGCACTGCCAGGAGTCACCCATGATTACAGGGCCAGGAGTAAGCCCCAATCCAGCTGTCTGTGGCCCCAAAACAAAGACTGCCTCCTAGCCAAGTCTGTCTTCTGCCACACCCTGCGTAACTTCCTGTCCCAAGAGTAGACATTCAAACCCATGTCAATGCTCACTTGCTCTTGATCTCTGCCTGATGACTTGCTCTGGGCTTTGTCCACAATGGTGGAACTGGAATGGCGTTTTGAAACCTACTGAGCTCTTTGCTGCCTTAGGGCTCTTTGCCTCTTTGTTCCCTAAGGTCCCTGCATGGGTGCGCATTCTCATAATTCCCATCTGATTTTTGATGTCACCTCTTCGGAGAAGCCCACCCTGATACCCATTCGAAGAGACCCTTCCTTCTCCCGTGCTCCCTTGCACCTTTTCTCCTTTGTGTCTGGGTTCGTGCCTAATCCTCCCGCTAAGCTGCACCCGAGAAGCTTGACTGTGGTCACGGCTGTGCTTCCCGTGCCCACGGGCTGTGTTCCTTCTGGGCCGAGCCTGTGTGTTTGTGTGCACTGCTTCGACTGTGGGTCCAGAGGTTCTCTGCTGAGAGGGAATATGTGGACCGAGGGGCCGGTCTAAGGGTGGAAAAGTCCGGTGCAAAATGAGATGAGAACAGAGGGGGCACAAAGGAGCAGGTGGGAGTGGCCGGGGATGGGGCAGGGGGTACCAGCAGCAGTTGGGTGTGAGGCAGGGAGGGAGCTAGTGGGACTGAGCAGGATGGGGGTGGGGCAGAGCACTTTCGTTACAAGGGATTCTGGGGAGAGGGTTGGACATCTCTAGGGCACCCACTCAGCCTGCTGGTGGGCGCTCGGTGGTAAGCAGCAGTGTCCTGGCTCAGTGAAGAAGGGGCTAGACAGCAGTCCTGGCCTGGATGACAAGGGGGTCCCCAGAAGCCTTGGGGAGGCAGGAGATTTAAAGTGCTCGGGTGAGCAGATGCACTGGGATGCCCAAACCGGGGTGGTGTCCGCGAAGAGAAAGAAGGAAGCATGTGTGTGGCCTTTAGAAGGACACGTTCTAAAACACTTAAGTTATCGGACAGGAGTGAGGGTACAGCAGGTCAGGCACTTACCGTGGACGTGACCCACCTGGGTTCAATCCCGGGCACCCCGTGTTGTCCCCTGAGCATTCAAGGAGGGATCCCTGAACACAGAACCAGGAGGAAGCCCCAAGCACCCGTGGGTGTGGCGCCAAGAGCAAAAATCCAAGAAAAAAAAAAGCTAAGGTTGTTGGGGAGTTTTAAACAGTGAAACCATCATTTTAATGAGCAGCGTAGTCGCAAGGTTTATAATTAAAATGGTATTAAAAGGACAAACACTGAGCAGTCTTCTCCACTCCCTTGCGGCAGCCGCCCTCCGCATTATGAACCTTGCGTGCATTCCCTTTGCGTCTTTCTGGTTCTGCCCCGCTGATTTCACAAGCCCGAAGATGCCTTTTTTTATTCTTGTCCTTGTTAACTCAGAAGTGAGCCTCCTCCACACACTGCCGGGCCCCCTTTGGACCCACTTGTCCGTGCTCCTCTATCTGCATCCAAGTGGAAGGGGTTTTGATTGATGAAGCCAAATTCCAGAGGGCCTTGGGGAAAGATTGGGATTAGGGGGTGGAGAAGTGGCAGAATGGGCCATGGGGGAACAGCGAGGGGATTAGAGAGACGAGATCATGTGTTTCCGTGGAAACTGTTCAAATAATTGAGAAGTTCTGTTCCAGGCATCAAATACATCATAGATGAAAACATCCCAACACCATGAAAGCAAACACCAGACCAAAAGCTTCTGTGATCCTTCAGAACCTAGAGAGATGCATTGCAACTCCAGTCTTGCCCATCATGGTTTTAAATGAATGTGGTCTGAGATCTGAATGCCTGCTTACAGCATTTTACAGCCAGGGTCTGTCTATAGATCAACCCCCTTAGCCAGAAGCAGGAATGGCTTTAGGTAGATATCCACCTTGATGGAGGGGTGTGGGAGAGGAGGGACTCTCTGTTCATACCTCCCTTCCCCCAGGCCTCTGTATCGGATCTGGCCTAGAAAAATTTGCTCATCAGAGCTGCCCTCTTAGTAAGCATGACCTTGGAATCCAGGAGCTAAGACCTGTGAAAATAAAAGAAGAGAAAAGTTAAGTGTGAGGCCATTGACTTTCACCCCTGTTTCAAAAGTGAAAAACAAAAATAGTTGGGGACTGGAGAGACAGTACAGGGCTTAGGGTGCTTGCCTGGCACACAGCCAACCCCAATTTGATCCCCAGTACCACAGAGGGGACACACACACACACACACACACACACACACACACACACACACACACACCGTGGTTCAAACCCTGTCAGGAGTGATCCCTGAGCACAGAATCAGAAGTGTCTCCTGAGCATAGCCGTGGATAGCTTTTCAATAAGCATAAAACAAAACAAAAATTGGGGGTTCGCTTTCTTTGGGGAGATGGGTGGGAGACAGTTCTAGGCATGCCTGGGGTGGGCGCAGGGACCACTCAGATGAAACTCAGGGTCACCATGGTCGTGTTCAGGGAACCCTGAGGTGCTGGGGATCAAACTCACACAGGCCAAGCATGCACTTCAGCTCTTTGAACTGTCTTCCCTGCCCTAGAGTTTGCTTTCTTAAACTTTCCTGAAGAGGTAAAAATTTGCACTTGGAAATATATGGAATGTTCTAGAATATTCCAGAACAGTCAAATAAAACCATTAGTGAATGTTTCTTTTCTAGTCTTATTCTTCACTTTCTATATTTATGATTTCTTGAGCCTCCTCTCGCTTTGCCAACTGCTGCTCAGATCACACATTTTAACCTCTGAGGTTGTGAAGTGATTAGTGGGGTTCAAATTGGGCTCCATCTTGCTCTGCATCCATGGGCAGGGGTGTAGAGAAACTGTCCAGATGGATTAGATAAATGGTCCTCCTAACAAAGTGGGCACTTGGGGTATCTGTATGGAAACAGCACTGATGCGATGCTTCTCATTGCAAAATGGATTCCTCGAATGCTGAAGCGCTGCCTTAGTCAACACCCATGAACTGTTTAATTCATGCTAATATGACTTGCCGTCTGGGGCTGCAGCTGTGCTGGTGGTGATGCGTTAGGTGGTCCCAGTCTTTCAGACCTGCTGCCAGGTTTGGATGGAGGCTTTCTTAGTCTCTTGTATTCTTTTGCCTCTTACCCACGGAGGATCCCGTGTACTGGACGTTGATTTAACACAGGCACCATGTTATGTTCAAATGCAGAAGCACCAAAGATCTCTGCAAAAGCTCTCTCGTAGAAATCATTTACGTTATGGAAAAAATGAAACTAGCCCCATGTTCATCAGGAAGGTGAAAGTAACGATAATAGTGGAACATGTCTGTTCAAAGGAATGGACTCTCTCAGGCCAGGACAAGTAGTACAGCAGGGAATGTGTGTATTTTGTACATGGCTGACTGGGCTGATCCCAGCACCCATATGATCTCCTGAGCACCGCCAGTAGTGATCTCTGAGCACAGAGCCAGATATAAGTCCTGGCGCCACCTGGTGTAATCTCGAAGTAAGAAAGAGAGAAA